CTCAGACCACTCCTGAAGCCAAAAACCACTTCCTAAACAAACCGAAACTACTTCCCACCATTTCTTTTTCCTACCTGTTTTTCCTACAGGAGCATGAGTAGGTGGCAGGCAGGCAAAAGAGGTTAAGTTGTCCTGGATAAAGAAGCTCTCTCCACGTCCAGCTTTTTTCCACAGCACTTCTGCCATACTCTGCTGCTGTCTGTTTTTTGTTTCCTAATCTGTATTTGATGTCAAAACAACCCCCAAGCCCACTTCCAGAATGCTGGTCATTCACCAGAGCTCCTTACCCCTACCTCTATCACTTATCCTTTTCTGTATTTTCCTACCTTTTTCAAGGCTCTGCTTCCTAGCCCAGCACTGCTCCTCTGCCTTCTGACCCTTCCTTAAGCTGAGTGCTCCAACAAGCACTCAGGTGACATTTCCATACTGATGCAAAAGTGTGTAGCTGCCAGCTCTGACTGAAAGCAGAGGTGCACAGGAACAACAGGCTGTGCAGCAGGCACAGATCCAAGAGAGTCCAGATGTGATGCGTGGAACAGACCTCCACAGAGCAGTTCAAGGAGGGAAAGAAGAGGAGAGGGAAGATGAGTCCTATGTGACTGTGCAATCTGAAGAGCCAGAAGCCACAAGAGCATTTTCAAAACATTGAAGTACAATATGCTGACAGGCCCACTCTTATATTTATATGACCTAACAAAGAATTCTAATCCTGATAAAACAGAGGCACAACAGAGAATAGAACAAGAATGTAACAGACTCATGAGGTACCATTTGTCTCTATAGAAGACACACTGACTCCTTACCTGCACTGGCATGCTAACACACCAAGCCTTGGGAGAAAAGACAGGACTTCACTAATTACAACTTCATGTGCAATTTACATTGCTAATGATATTAACAGATGAGAATGGCTGCAGCCTTGACAGAAGCATTCACTCAGAATATAAAATCTGAGCTTTGAAGAGCCTGACAGAAGACATTACAGAACATGGTATCCATCAGTAGTTCTCTCCCACTTTTATCACACTGCAGCTGGTGCTGGTCACATCTCTAAAAGCAGAATTACTAACCATACAGATATGGAAAGACCACGTACAAAAAAATCCTCTTAGGAAGAGGAACTGAAGCAGAATGCTTGTTTACATTGCAGAGGAGGGGGGGACATACAGAATTAAGACTATCACTGAGAAGAAAGGAGCACATGATCTTGTAGCAGAAGAACTAGAGGACCACAAACAAAACCAGAGGACAGTAAGTTCAAAATCAACAAAAGCTTTTTGATGCAAAATAGTCAGCCTGGGGCACTAACTGCCATAGGACTTGCCAAGAGACTCTGAAGATGTAAAAAGCAGTTACTAGGTGTCGTAGTTTGAGACCCCCAAAAATCCAATTTCCAAGTCCAAGCCCCCCTCCCACAATTTGCTTCAGTGTGAGAGGGTTTTCCAGACATAACACAAGACTCAGTATGGGGGGAAGGGAATTATATTACAATTATTACTTAAATGAATACTATAACACATTATATACACAATCCTAACTATCTCTCCTATGGTAAAGCAATATTTATATTAGACCAAGTCCCTCCTCTCCCTCCAATAAAAGTTCAGAAGGGAAGAAGGAAAGATCCTTTCCACTTTCAGGGCAGCAGTGTCTCTCCTCTTCAATGCAGCAGTCGTAGCTGGAGTTGTTGTAGCTGGAAGATTTCTCTCTTCATTACAATACAAGGGGTCTTCTCTCACTCCTCTCACCCCTTCGGCTCCAACCGAAGGTCTCTCTCCCATGGGCTGCAAAGCAGGGACAAAACTTGCTTCACCACAGTCATATCACGAAGTGCAGGGCATCCCGTGAAAGTCCCTTCCTCAGGAGATTCAAGTTCCTTCTGAGTCAGTACATTTAGGGCAGCTCTCAGTTCAGTCTTTGCCCCAAGTGTCCTACCAGAGCCCCTTTGTTCTGTCTCAAACTGCCAGCCTGGCAGCAGCAGTGGGGGCAAGGCCACCTCCTCTGCATTCCGTCCGGCCCGTTGTGATCCAGCTTCAGAACGTCTCTGAGCTTCTCAGCTCCTCTCTCCGGTGCTGCTGCATTTCAGGACTCCCTTCAAATGGAAGTCCACTCCTTCCCTTTAAGAGGGGTCTCCAAGGGTTTTTGGGAAAGTAATTCAGTCTTACCCCAAGAACAGTCCCTGCTGAGTTTCTCTGCTCTGTTGCCAGCTCTCCCTCCTTGCAGGTACATTTCTGCATCTCCCAGCCTGGCTATGTGCCATCTCACTGCTTGCCATCTCTTTTGGCTCTCAGCCACAGTTCTCTATTCGGTGCTGTCTCTGCCGCCTCTTTTCCATCTTCTGCTGCCCACTCACAGCAAGGAAATTTCCTCCAGCTCTTAGCTACAGTACTTGGCCCAGTTTAACACTGTTCCAAGCTCCTGCAGGCCCCAGCCAGGGGGCTGGGGGCTTTGGCCCCCAGCGGGGCTCGCTGGCCTCTACCTCCTCGTGGCTCAGACCATGGCTGCCTCTCTTCCAGCTACGTCATCCTCCTTCTTTTCCGGTCTGGAGTGATATGTTTTAATTTTGCAGGGGCGCTGACTGGGTCAACACCAAGAAACACCAGGGGGGCCCTGGGGTTAACCACTTTCCAACTCCAGGGAAAAACCCTTTTTAACCCAGGACACTAGGTAAGGAGTATCCAAGTTTCTGACCTTGTGAGCCACTCAGCAAAATCCGTATATGTCAAACGTCCACAAGACACACACCACCAGTTACTTCAGAGGATGCTGGAGACTAAAAGTACTGTACAGTCCACAGCACAGTTATGACAACAGGTGTCTCTCATGTCCCACCACATTGCCTTGAGCCCCAGCTGGTCTGTGTACACCCCTGGATCCCAGGGAAACCCAGGGATACTGTTTTTGGCAGTCCACACTGGTTCGCTTCCTTTCTAAGGTAGATCTGGACTACCAAGCACAAAATTGGCACAAGGATTACTTACAAACCACAAATGGATACCCTTGGACTAAAGACTTTCATTCATACGAGAATATCCAGAGTTGTAATGCTCAGTATTAAGTGAACAATGACAAATTTTGTGAAGAAAAAAGCCCACGGAACGAAAGCCAGGCTCTACTGGGAACTAACAGGATGCTTCTGAAGGGCAGCTTACTAATCAATAATGAATCCCTCATTAATGAATCCCTCATTAATCATGAGGGATTTGAAAGACCATTCTAGAGAGATGACTGGGTATTGTTAGACTGTTTTTTTCTGACTACAAATAAGCTATGATATATCAATAATGTCCCCCATTTTCTAGCCCAAGTTAAACAGCAAATGTAGTTACAGGAAGGGTTAGTAACGAGTCAGACAACACTCAGCAGTGTCATTCAGCACATGAAAATGAATACAAAGTCCTTTCTAATGAACTGGAGCACAGGGCAGAACTGTTGGATCAAGCCACCTTACCAAGATGGACCCATTCAAAGTGTGTTTAAAGGCAACGAACGACCTGAGAACAAAGAATGAAAAACATCCCTCTAAGCGGGAGATCATGTCTTGAAAAGTGGAAAACGTGAAAAGGAAGTGGAGATCACAGTGGGAAAACAACTCATACTGTGCCACTCTGTGCCACACTGTGGCAGAGACAGCCAAAGGAACCTTTGGATTTATGAAGAGCAGAAAGCAAGGACAGTAGGATGAGTTTCTCTGTATACTTCAATCACTAGAGAAATCCATGTTGGAACACTGAATAAAGTAGTGCCAAGTACAGTCCAGAAGTCTGAAAAATGCTGTCCATGAAAGATTTAAGTAATGCAAAATGTTTAATGATCTAAACATAAAGCTGAGATATGAATGCAGTGATAGCATTTAAGGACATTCAATATAGGTACAATCACAAAATCCCAAATGATAAAAAGCTATAAAATGAGATAGAAAAAGAAAGACAGAACAAGAGCCAGTGGACAAGAGATGACATGAACAAACTCTGCCACAAAAGCTGCCACACAGCACCTGCCAGCCAGTAGCACGGCGGGCTCGCTCTCCTCACAGGTCAGTGACACCATCCCAACCTTCACCCCTGGCCCTCAGGGCAGTCTTACTGTCACAAACAGAGGATTTACAGAACCAAAGCAGAGGGGCTGGCATGGCCTTTAGAGCTTCAGATCCTTCTGGGGCCCCAAGTCAGTACTGACCTGCCAAAGCCATTCTTAAGAAGTATTTGTCTAAGTTCTTAAACCCTCCATGGATAGAAGGTCTACAAGCAGTATATTCAATTTTAAGTTTCCAACAGTTAACCAAACTGCAGCTTGTCTTTGTGGGAAGTATAAGGGTCACAGTAAGCACATATGGCAATCCATTAGTGCTCAGTAAAATATGGGTGTCACATGATCCAAAAGTCTCTTTTAGCTGTAAGATCCATTAATCTGTAAACGACCATGAGCAACGTAGATCAACACTCGGCTTCAGGGCTGGTGTTGACACCAGGGCTTCAGCTTCTACAGTCATGGGATGTTCTTTGATGAATATTACTGGGGAGAGAGAGGATTCACCATCAGCCAGTTCCCTCAGGACCCTGGCATGCGTTTCATCAGCTTTCATGGATGTGTGTATGTCCACGTTCCTCAGACGGTCTAGGATCTGATCTTCTCCTACAATGGGCAAGAAAGACTTCATTCCCCAGTCCTTACCTTGAGATTTGGGGACTCCAGAACAGAGCAGAGAACAGAGGCTCCTACGGGACTGTCAGAGGCCATACTGGAAAGGACAGAAGTTTGTCTCTCAAACACTGGAACCAATGAATAGAACCCAATGAATAAAGTTTTTAAAAAAATGGAAGGAGGACCCAAACAGCTTTACATAAAACTCATGGAGCCCTTGTCCAGCACTGAGGTGCCAGCGCTCTCAAATACATCCAGGTACAGGAACGACAGTATGACTGTTACTTTCACATTTACTCAGCACACATCAAAAACAAGGGCATCACAGACTGTCAACTCACAAAAATCAGACACACCTCACTTGTTGACTTCTGAGGAATATTCCCTGAACAGGACCTACTAGCCAGTGTCTGCATTTTGACAGTATTATAGAAAACCCTGTGAGCAAGAAGAAAAGGCATGTAAATTGTAGATATCTGCTTGTTTCAGTGCACTCACGACACTTCTGCATAAATGCAAAACCTGGATAACTCCCTGGGTGTAACACCAGAACTCTTAATCCTTTACATTTTAAATTAAGAACCATTCAATTCCTGTAGATGCATCTTTCCAGAAAAGATAACCTCCTGGAATGCTGTTGAGTTTAAGGGGAGACCAGCAAATTCCAGGTTTTAGTCCAAGCACTTTGTTTGGAAACTGATGTGGCAACACTGCACTGGAAGAGGAAAGAGCTCTGAGTGATCGAGAGAACTGAGGGTTACCATTAATATCTTACCTTCATCAAAAAGCTAAAGGAGTTTTAATACACAAGCTCTTCTGATTCCAGTGAGAATTGTGGACTCTCTGCAGGAATATACATTAGCAGGTATTTTCTGCATTAACTTTAATATCAGTGGATTCTTAACAAGCTAATGGGCACAGAGAACATGGCATGTGATAGGGACAGGAACAGGAGGAAATAAGAGTAGGATGTCAGAACTGGAAAAGAAAGAAACTTTCTTAGATGTCAGCTAGAAGAAGCCTTTTGCCACATTTACTGCCTGACACTGAGTGCTCATCTTGAACCCAACACTATCCAGAAGTGCAAACACGAGGGAAAAAAATCACAAGAGCAGTTCCTGGTTACCAGGTTATTGTTCTCACTGTCTTTACTTCCAGTTTTCTTCACCGAACATCTGCAGTCACCCCCTTTTTGTCTGGTCTCTCCTCCTGCCAAGCAGCTCTCAGTTTTCAATCATTTGGAACCTCAATGAGGAGAATTGCCAAACTGTCTTTCAAAAAGGCATACCCTTCCTCAGGGACAGCTGGGAGCTGCTTACAGGTACCCACTGCCATTAAGGACGTGCCAAAGTGAATGGTCCTATAATCCTCCCTGAACTTAGAATCCAAGGGAACACCCAGCTGAACAGAAAAGGACAGAATTGTGACAAAAAAGATAATCACAGAAAACTGGAACAACTCTTCCCAATGAGGATAACTTATCATTTAACCAGCATATCTAGGAATACGGGGGATTTTCTAACACTGTTTATTCCATAGATGACTGCAAAAACTTAAAATGTATGTGCAAGAAAAAAATTATTCTATTATTTGCCTCATTTTCCTATTCCTGTTCCACACCTCCAATACGAGTTGAGATGGGAAATTTTGGTCTGACTCAGCGCACACAGTCCTTAAATTAGCCTGAGTTCCCACTGGCAGGCTGGGGCTGGTACCTCTGTGCCAGGCTTGCCCTGGCTCCTCCAGAACCACGCAGGCAGAGGCAGCAGCACTGGGCACTGGGCATACTCTGCAGCCGGCTGTGCAGTACTGTGAGGAAAGGGCCACATCAGGTGACAATAACAAGCCTAATGTGTCTTAAAATAGAAAAATAAAATAGTTATAACCCAAGCTACTTATTTCCAAACCAAAATAGAATGCATTTCTTCTACCAGACAATTTACACAACCAGCGGGGTGACCTGTGCAGGCTGTGAAATGTGAGAAGTCACCAATCCAGCTGTGAAAAAAAAAAAGTCCCTTACAGGCACGCCGTGTACCGGCTGGGAAAACAGACAGATGGATACAGGTGCACATTCACCAGTGGAAGCAATGTGAAGAATGGAACTAATGGTAGAAAATAAATATCTGAGTGGCAGATTTGAGCACCTTGTCATGGAGATGACCAATGCTCATCCAACAGCAGCAGATACTGGAGAAGTCTACCACCTGGGAAGAGCTAATTTAAACTTGCTCTGAGAAGCGTGGGAACCCTACAAAACAATTAGCACCTGACAAGAACTAATCACATTTACTTGTGGCAAATGGAGTAATGAATTACCACAAAGAATTCCTGCTACTACTACTCCTCTTAGCAACTGCATCCCCCAGTGTCATGTGCTCTGAGCCAGTCTACTTTGCCAGATCGGCATCTTCCTGCCAGAACTACCACAAACTATCACAGTTGGCTATTCAAAACACCAGTTTAGGTCCTTTAGGCAAGCTGACAGTTCAGGATTTATTCACAACGTAACATTTCCCATAAGCCCAAAGGCAAACATTTTCCAGCCCTGATACAAAGCACAGACACATCCTTCCCAACTACAACAGGTCACTTTTCAAAGAGCTAAAACCTACCTGTACCAGACAAGACAGCTGAACACCTGGAGTCACATCTGTATAGACCAAGAAGAAGCAAGAAACTTATCCTGTGGATGAGGCAGGAGACCAGATATTATGTCATGCTGAATTAGTAGGAGATGTTCTCAATGACCTGAAGTAGCATCAGCTCTAAGGCAAGCAGGATGAGTATGCATTTGGATCCAACTCTGAAAAAAAGAAAAGCACATTCTGGGTGAGAGGGAAATAATAGACAGTATAAATAACACTTCCTAGAACAGCATCAATTCATGGGACACTTCAAAAGCAGCACAACTTGGGGGGGGGAAAGGGGGAAAAAGCAAGAAAGGGGAGATGCAACTGACATAGTGGTTCAGGGCTTCTTTGCAGACCCTGCACACGGGGGCACATCCAGGCTGCCAGGACAGCCATTTTTCCACATGGCCAATCCATGTAGGCTGTTCAACTTCCCCACAAGAGCCAGCCTGAAATTGAGAAGATTGGAAAGAGCATGCAGAAAGTCACCACTTGCCTACAACTTGTGAACATATTGAGAAGACTGATGAGATCAATAGGGTGGATAGGATTGGAGGAGATCCCTGGAATTTGCCTGGCCTAACCAAGAAGCAAGGGTATTTTCTCACAAAGGTGTTCTCAGTTGTGTTTCTGCCATCAGACATCTCTGGTCACCCTTGGGAAGGGAGGCCAGTTCAGAAGCATCAACCAAGTCTGCTTGCCTTCATCCTTAAAGAAATCAACTCCTTAAAGGCTACCGGAACACTGCAGCATTTTAGCAGCCACCATCAGCTGCCCCAGTAGGACGGTGAGAGTGTTGCAGACACTGGGCATTTAATATCCCAGATTCAGCTGCCCCAGTAGGACGGTGAGAGTGTTGCAGACGGGGAGAACTAATGATCCCACAGATTTAGGGTATAGTTCAGACAGCTTCAGTGTCTGCATACTTATGATAGGTCCCAGAGAAGATGAACCAGAGTAAGAAGGAAAAGAAGCTGGGAAGAGCTGAGCCAGCTGCGTGTGCACATACAAAGCCCTGCTGCTCCTGACAGCTCTGTACTGCAGCTGATGAAGAAAAGCAACATTACAGCAGAACAGGTGTCACCAGCACGCACAGCGTTCCCAGGTGTAAGCTCATACCTAGGCATGCAGTTAGACACAACTGTTCAAAGAACAGACAGGCAAGAAAGGGAAGTACGAGCATGACAGTGGCAGCCTGGCCAGTGCCGCGCAGCACAAGCAAAGATAACTCCACCAGGGACAGAACCAAGGTTCTGGGTCTAGCGGGGTCAGAACAAGGGAAGAACCAAGGGCAGAAAGAAGATCATGGTGAGTTCTGCTAAAACAGAGCTGAAGTCAAGGAAGGACAGAGCCCAGGCAAGCAGGGGCTAAGGCAAACACCGCAGTGGAGGCAGTGCAAGTGAGAAGGGAGAGTGCACAAGGTACAGAAAGGAACATCACTGCGGCACTGAGGAAAAGGAGAGCAAAGGCTGAGTGTTGGGAATCTCACCCTCACCCTGCCTCAGGGGCAAGGCCAGGCCGCAAGTTTCCTCCTCAGAGAGGGGTCAGGGGATTCAGCAAGGGAAGACGGGCTGGCTTTGCTGGTGTTCCCATGGAAAACAGCAGGTCATTGATTGCTCCTGAGACAACACCAAGGAACTGGGTATTTTCAGAAGCTGTAGGACTCCCTTGGATGGGCAGTAGGATGAAGCCAGTCTCTCCAATAAGGGCAGTGCTGACAGCAGCAGGTGAGGATACTGCACAAACACTCTCCCAGGTCATGTTAACTTGGTAGATAACGTTGCTTGCTCCTCAGCCCCCCATTTCAATTCTACCTCAGTCTTCCCAGAAGCAACTTGCACACAGGAACCCTCCAAAGGCCATGGCGATGCAGGAAACGGAGGAGAGTTCAGGCCAGCAGCAATCTCCAGCAGCAAGCTCCTGGCACCAGTGAGATGGTTTGTATGTGTGGGAAGTCAGGAAGATCTTCTGGAAGGCCATGCAGAGCACCAGTCTCCTACAGACATGGATCAGTTAGTCCTGAGAGCATCTGGGACCATGTATCTCCCTCTGAAGACAGAACTGAGGGGCAGCTTAGAGGCAGCGAGACAAATGCTCTCTCTCAAAAGCTGCCTCCTCCTGTGTGAAGGCTGGTTGTTCCTGGAGCATCGGAGACAGCGGTCAGTTAGCCACAGGGAAGCGCTGGGTGTGCAGTGTTTCCAGGGACAGGCTGTTAGGAGGACCCCTCCTCTCCAGAGGATCGTGTCAGGACAGGATGGGCAATTCCAGATGAGTGATGGTGTCTCCCGCGGAAAAGTCAGTCCCTGCTAAAGAAGACCCTCCCGAGGGGGCCTGCAGCCCGCATTCGGGAGCGGTAAACGCGCACTGGGCTCCCCCCCTCTGCCCCTCCGAGCCAGCCAAGTCCCTGCGAGGCAGCAAAGCCGCGGCTGGGCCGAGGACGCGAGGCCCGCGCTGGGACATTCGGCGGGGGCCGCACCGTGCAAAGCCAAGTCCGCGGGGAAGAACGGAGAGACCGGCGCCGCAGCCGTCGGATGTTCCAGCTGCGGCTCCGCGGGAGGAGGCACCGCCGGGTCTGCCCTGACTCCGCCGGGCCGGTCCCGGGGCCGCCGCCTGCGGGGCCGTCCCGCAGGCAGAGCTCCCGCGGGTGCCGGGGCGGGGGCGGCGGGGCCGCGCGGCGCTCACCGTCCCGTCCATGCTCCGCTCCCGCCGGGGCCGTCCGAGCGCGGGGCGCCTGCGCGGCGCTGCGGACACCGGCGAGGGACCGTCTGCAAAGCGCGGCTCGCCCGCCGCGCCGGGGAGAGGGTCCCGCTGCGGGAGCGCCCGGCCCCGGCCCCGCCGCTGCGGCGGGAGGGCGGTGCGGCCGCGGCCCCTGCCCCGCTCCCAGACCCGCGGGGGCGGCGCGGCGCGGAGCTCCTCCCGGGGACGGGCGGGAGCAGCGCCCACACCCTTCCAGCGCCGCCGGCCGCCCCGGTTCTGCCGCCTCGGGAGAGCTGGAGAGAGGGACGGACGGGCTGCGGGGCCGCCACGCGCCCCAGTCCCTACCACCGCTAGGCCCCGCCGCCACAGAGCCCCGCGCCACACCCCCCCCCCCAGCGCCCCTCACCGCCGGCAGAGCCCCGTCCCCGCGGCAGCCCCGCCGCCCCCGCCCCGCACTCACCGCCGCCCCCGCCCCGCCGCGGCCCCGCCGCGCTCGCGCCGCTCCCGCCCCGCCGCAGCCTCCGCGCGCTCCACAGCGCCGCCTGCCGGCCGCGCTCGCGCCCGCCCGCAGAGCCCCCGCCCAGCGCGGCCCGGGCCCGGTACCGGTGCCAGCCCTGCCTGTGCCCGGTACCAGTGCCAGCCCTGCCCGGGCCCGGTACCGGTGCCAGCCCTGCCTGTGCCCGGTACCAGTGCCTGCCCTGCCCGTGCCCGGTACCGGTGCCAGCCCTGCCTGTGCCCGGTACCAGTGCCAGCCCTGCCCGGGCCCGGTACCGGTGCCGGTGCCGGCCCTGTCCGCGCCTGGCACCGGCCGCTCGCAGCAGAGCTCGACAGCCCTGCCGGCTGATACCAAGCGGGGCTCACAACGGCTGCGGCGAAGCCGGGGCTCACCAGGACACGGTGAGAATTCCTGCACGGCCGTAATGGGATGAGGATAGCTCAAAGGCACGTCTGATCCTTCAAAGGCAGAACCAGCCCAGAGCTGCGATCCACTAGGGAAAAGAAAAACTGCTTCACGAACACAGACCACCTCTATGATATGCACTTTGACAGAATAAGGTGAAGGTACCCTCAGTGTGACCTGTGGGAGTCCTGTGGTCCATGAGGATGAGGAGGGCAGTTTGGACAGGATGAGCACTGACAGTGAATACTTTGGGATGATGCTCCAAGGAGCTGCAAGGAAGCAGTGAAAGGACTGAGCTCCATCAGGGAGCCAAGCAAGCCTGCCAGCTCCTCATGTTCAAAAAGGGTTTAAGCCTAAAAGATGAAGTAAAACATTGTAAAGATTATAAGGTGGATTTAGGTCTCTCTGGCACGAATACACACATTCATCTTTTCCACTGTATTTTTCATCTGTCACATTTTCAAGCTTTTTCTACAGTTACTTGCACCAGCAAAACACAGTTGCAAATGGAAAATGAGTTTCTGTTACCTGTCAGCAGCAACGGTTCAGCATGCATGCTGAGAAGTTAAGGTACCTTAAGTGCTCAAAACATCCAGGAAAGAGCCTGAAATGGGAATATGAGAGGGTGACTGTCTTGGCCAAGGTACAGGACTCGGGAGGGGTGAGCCCTGGGACAGCAGGGCACAAAAGCACCTGGTATAGTGGTTCAGGCCAGGACTCCTGGCAGGAGACTCAACTGGCACTTGTACCTGGACATGCTCTGCAGTGCTGTACAGAATGTTTCATGATGAATGTGTGACAAGGCCACGCTCAAGGCCAAACAGAAGAGAGCAAGCTCCTCGGAAAAGACCTCTTCATGCTGGACTTAAGAATGGAGGAGTCTGCTAAGCAAGAATACCTTGCTGTAGTAGCTGGGGAAATGTGCACCTGTTCATGAGAGTATCGTGTCCTCTGTATCTGCTCATCTGATCTGACCAACAGCAACTCCAAAACTTTTGTGGAACAGCCTAGACCATCTGTAAGTGCCAGGCTTGCACTCTCCAGAGTGCTGGAAATTGGCTCTGCTCCACTTTGGAGGGATAAGATTCAGCACTTGTGAGCTGTGATTCAGTGCAGCCATCCCAGGACCTGCCCAGACACACCTGAGTGCTGCCAAGTTTGTCCCAGGGAGGAGGGGGGAACAGCCCCCTCTCCCAGGGGAGATGGGCTGCACATCCCACTCACATGGCAGAGCCACATCACTTATATTCCAGTCTTGGAGAAGGCTGATGTACACCATGATCAGATACAGTATCTGAGTTCACAATATCTGGGTTTGGTTTTTTTTAAGTACACCTGTTAGTTAGGGATAGAGTGGCAGTTCTGTCACAGGTGAGAAGATGGAGAGTTTGTTTTCACCTGTTTCTTGAAGTTAAAAATGCAGGAGGGACAGAAGCTTTTTGTGTTTGTACCATATACTGTATGTCTTTCTCTGGGATCAATGCAGACTGTGGCAACAGGATACATCAGCCACTCTAGGACATCCAGTGGAAGAAATTCACTACAACTGATGACAAGGAAGAAGACTATCCAAGGGCATGGAGTGATGTACAAGAAAGTGAAGTACTAAAGTACACACTCCCAGTGTCGGGGTAACACAGACACCAAATGAGGGTATGCGTTTCCTCAGGGGTACAAGGTCAAAGATGACCCCACTGTAGTCCACAAACTCTGTATCATGATCCTCACATTGTTGTGGCACTAAACCTGCATTATATGAGAAAACTGTTGTTTAAACATGTCTTAAAATGGCTTTTGGTGGTCTCTTTGCAAACACGTGTTTCTTCTTCCCAAGACCCCCCAGGGCAGTGTTATCTCAGGAATGTCCTGGGAAGGTGTCCTGAGGTGTTTCATTGGACCTTGTTAACCCCTTCCTGTGATTGGGTGTTCCTGTAAGCCCCTTGAGACTTCTAATTGGTTAACCTGTGATTCTCCCTAACCCTATAAATGTAACAACCCCCAACAATAACCTCTCTCTTGCCTCCTCTCCACGCCTGGTGTGCTGTCTCTGTACCAGCCATGGGACCGAGGGCACCTCTCCCCTCCAGGCTCGGGGCCTGAGGAACCCCTGTCGCTGGAGTTCCCTTTCATGGTTCTTCAGATGGAGATGGAACTAGAACTGGGCTCCCCCACGTTGTGGGTGGGGAAAGGGATCCAGACATTGTTCATCATTTCTGGCTGAACTAAAGCGCATCCTTGAAAAAGATCTAGTCCAAAATGACGCAAAAATAGTGGTATAGAGTCAAATCATAAGCACACCTGACTCGTATACTCTGTCACTGAAAGTGGCCAACACTGAATGTCTAGAAAATATCATCACAGTGCTCATTTCCTGAAGGTTCTCATAGCTCCAAGGGATTTCTGGTTCAGAGACCTTCTGTGCCAGAGCTGTTGGATTTGTGGTTAACAGCGTTTGATGGATTTCTCTTTTGGATCTTTCATCCACTATATATTGACAATCATGAAACTTAAGGCCATGAAGGACCATTGACTCTGCCCACTTACATTTGACAAGTAATTTCACACAGGCCTCCAATGATCTCTGTTACACAAACCAAGTAAATTGTAGTACACTGGAAAAGTTACCACTGTAATTTCACTAGCTACTCACTTTCAGCACACAGGCCTCCAATGATCTCTGTTACACAAACCAAGTAAATTGTAGTACACTGGAAAAGTTACCACTGTAATTTCACTAGCTACTCACTTTCAGCACTGAAAGCATGTGCCTGTTTCCCCTTGGAATTATTTGTTACAGTTTAAAGCTGTTAGTTCAGTGGTTGTTGTGCCTTACCCCTGGACAATTAAAAGCCTCTTTAGTATCCAGTGTTTTCACTCAGTACATGTATTCATACACTCTAATCAGTGTCTAAATCATTAGAGTTCATAGAATCATAGAAAGGTTTGGGTTGGAAGGGGCTTTTAAAGGCCATCTGGTCCCTCCTCACCATAGGCAGGGACATCTCCACTCAATCAGGTCACTCCAAGCTCTGTCCAACCTGGCCTTGGAGACTTCCAGGGATGGGGCAGCCTCAGCTTCTCTGGGCAACTTGTGCCAGGGCCTCACCACCCTCATTTTTAAAATGGTCTTTCTTATATCTAGTTTGAATCTACCCTCTTTTAGTTTAAAACCATTAAGCTCAGTTTAAAGCCATTACCCCTTGTCTTATCACAACAGGAGTTCATCTCACATAAAATATTTTTCCAATCTTCAAGTAAGTGTTGTGAATCTCTCACACATTCTTTTCATTCTTTTTTTTTCCTCTCTTCCCTTCAAGCCTTAAAAAAAGAAAAAAAAACAAAAAAAAACCAAAAAAACAAAAAGGCTGTGAGCTCTGCCCTTTTTACTGTCTCACATTAACAGCATCTGTTTCCCCAAGACTGTCTATCTGTTAAGATCTGTTATGTCTTAATCCTATACTGTCAGCTTTACAGGGCTGGGACAGCTCTGGATTTTAGTGTCTAAAGTAGTGGGTCCTAGACAAATTAAGCTGCTGGCACTTTAATACAGTCAATTGCTTCACAGACTTACCTTTTTCTTTTAACATGCAGTCCTCTCCGGAGGAGTGATACACCTTCATCTTCCACAAGTATGTAAGTTTGCACTTGACTGTTTTAAGACAAAAATTGATGTGAAGAGCCTTACTCTGCTACTCTTCTCCACTGTTATCTTCTCTTCACGACTTTTTTGCAGTTTTTTACATCATCTGCATATTTTATCAGTAGAGATCTTACATTTGCTTCCAAATAATCCATTAAGTGTGAAACAACACTGGCTGGAGAACTGCCCCCCTGGGCAGACTCGTTCACCTTCCCAGTTACACGAGGGCTGGAACAGCCTGGGGATAGTAAACTAAAAATGCCATAAGGCAAATGCTGTAAAGAGGAAAGAAAATAATCAAATTAAATGTTGAATGAATTGATCCAGCATTACACCAAACAAGACCCAAGTTGGTCATTTCA